GCTGGTTGAACCACTGGAACCTAAACCTAGGGAGTTGCCCGCTCCAGAGTGCGCATAGCAGGAGTCTGAGCCCCTCCTCCAGCTTGAGAAGTGGCTGGTGCTACAAGAAGCAAACCTGCTCGGGTGACACTCTCCATGAGGCCCACCAATCGGAACAGAGCGTCTTGAAGAATAGGGTGGCGATAAACACCTCTGGGACCTGAGCTGGGCCCACTGGAATTGCTGGGGCCAGAAACTCCTCCTCAAAATCAACCTGAGGCTCCGCCACTAGTTCTGCTGCTCGGGGCTGAGCTCTGCCCCTACCTCGGCCTCTAGCACAACCTCGGCCTCGCCCTCTGCCCCTAGTGGGAGCTGCTGTTGGGGGCTCGGGCTGTTGAGCGGTAGATGAGGAAGTTCATGTTCTCACCATCTGCGAAGGAACATAGTAGAAATCCAATTAGCATTTAAGGAACAAATCCGCGACAAGAAAGAACAAATGTGAAATTTTCCTAACTCTGTAGCCTTTGGGGGGATAAATACTGACGTCTCTATATTTGTAGTGCAAAACATGTTTGGTTAGGGCTGCAACTCGACGAGACGACATTAGGGTTGTTTTTGAACAAAGACGACGGAGTTTGGGGTTGAGCAATTTAAAGATTTTTTTACTTTTTTATGTGTATTTCAATGTATCTCGTTGTATTTCCATGTATTTCATTGTATCTTGTTGTATTCCATGTATTTCATTATATTTATTGTCTTCCTATATTTCATGAATGTATTCATATAATTTTTTAATTAATATAATTTATGTATTCAGATGTATATATATATTAAAATGTATCTGCAGTATGTATTCATATGTTTTTGCACTATAGATGACCTGCTATACTTCATGTATTCGTGTCACGTCCGGAACTTCCCACCCTCAGGAATCGTGATGGCGCCTACTGATAAGATCTAGGCAAGCCAACCCTTAACTACCTTTTTCATCAACAAATTACTTATTTTTACAATTATCAGTAATATCATGAAAATAGCAAAATTAAATAAATATGCGGAAGACCTAAATTAAAGAAACTAAACAATAATGCGGAAATCAACATATGCCTCTACCCAAGAACTGGTGTCACATTACTCACGAACTTCTAAAAATACTAAATAGAACTGTTTGAAAGAAAAATATTAAATGTTTGTCTCGAATACATGAGATAACAGACTGAAATAAAAGATAGAGGAGACGTCGAGCCTGCGGATGCCTGCAAGGCTACCTCGGTGTCTCACCGGAATGAAGGCTGGATCTCGCGCTACTGCTGCTATTCAAGACATTGATCTGTGCAAAAGAGGACAGAGTGTAGTATCAGCACAACCGACCCCATGTGCTGGTAAGTGCCTAGCCTAACCTCGGTGAAGTAGTGACGAGGCTAGGAATAGACCACCAAATAACCTGTGTAGTTCAAATATATATATATGTACAGCGGAAAAGAAATATAGGAATTAACCAATCAATGTGGGAAGGGTAAACATTTTGTGGGGAGATAATAGTTTCAAATAGAAATCCTCAATAAAATAAAGAAGCAACAAAGCCAGAATATCAACAAGAATCAAAAGTCAACAATTTGCACGGCATCACCCTTCGTGATTTTACTCTCGTCCTCACCTAATCAATATTCATAATAAAAATGTGCACGACATCACCCTTTGTGCTTTTACTCTCGTTCCTCACGATATAGTCAATGAATATCGGTACATAATAGTACATCGTACGACATGACATCCCCCTTCGTGCTTTACACGTTTTTCTCACAATAGCAAACAATGCACGACATCACCCTTCGTACTTTACACTCTTTCTCACCCAAACATTAATCACAAGCAAAGGGGGAAGGTAGTAGACAAATAATGGTAGGAATCCCAGTAGGTTAATACAATTAAACAGCTAAGTCCCGACAAGGGAACAATATTAATAAATCTCAACATCCCGGCGAGGGAGATAATCAACAAAGCAACAAACATCCCGGCAATGGAATAATTCAATAACTCTTTCTCTTTCATTCATTTCTTACTTTATAACTCACTTACCACTTCAGTCAATGCTCCAAAGGGTTCAATTATCTCATATACTCTCACATATCGTATTACCACTCAAGCCAATGCTCCTCGAAGTTTAAAGATCACAATTTCTTTCACATGCTCTTTACAACATATGGAAATCATCATTAAGGCATGAAAGATACAACAAAATAAGAATATCGACAATATGAAGACTCACAGTCATGCTAGATACCAACGTATAGATACTCGTCACCATGCCTATACGTCGTACTCGACAATTAGCACGTAGCAAATAAGACTCAACTCCTAATCACTCAAGCTAAGGTTAGACCAAATACTTACCTCAAACTTTTACGGCCAAATTAATCCTCAATTACCGCTTTTCCTTTCGAATTCGGCTCCGAATTGATTGTATCTATGCAATAATGACTTCAGTACATCAATAAATAATAAACATTGCGAACCCAATGCCTAATTGTATCTTTCCAAGCACTCTTTCCTAAATTCCAAAAATCGACCCTGGACCTGCTTGGTCAAAACACGAGGTTCTGACCAAAATCGAATCACTCATTCACCCACGGGCCCGAATATATAATTTGTTTTCAAATTCAACCCCAAAACGAGGTCTAAATTAAGAAAAATCAAAAAGCCCTAACTCTACCCAATTCTCTAATTTCTACCCTTAATTACATGTTTTAGGCTTAGGATTTCAGTGGATATTGAAGGAAATGGATGAAAATAAGCTAAGAATTACTAGCCCAAGAGATTTTGATGGAGAATTGCTTCAATAATCACCCAAGAGCTTGGAAAAGAAAGGTTTTGTGAACCCTGTAATGGCGCTGTTCGGGAAATTTAGAATATAACTGGACAAAATTACTCATCGCGTTCACGACAGGCTGGTTGTGTTCGTGATAAGTAACACTTAGTAGGCCATCGCGATCGGGAGAAGAGGCACGCAAACGCAGAAAGTATAAATGTTGTGGCCTAGAAATTGTCCTACACGAATGCGTGGGCCATCACGCGAATGTGAAGAGGGAATCCTGCAAGGCTACGCGAACGCGATGTGGAAAAGAAGACTCAACCCTCATCATCAAATAACACTACGTGAACGCGAGGGCAGGTATGCGAACGTGAAGAAAGAAAAAAAGTTAAAGCTTCACGAACGTGGAAGATATGACACAAACGCGAAGAAGGAATAGGGTCTGCAACAACTGAAGCAAAATCTGCAATTTTCATAAGTCCAAAACCACTCCGAAACACTCCCCAGCCCTCGGGGCTCCTAACCAAACACATGCACTAACTCAACAACATCCTACGAACTTAACCGTGCGATCAAATCGACAAAATAACATCAAAAACAATGAATCAAACCTCAAAATCAAGAGTTTTTCCAAGTACTTCATCAAGTTCAAATTTAAGATTTCAAGTCCGAAACACATCAAACGATGTATGATTTTAACCAAACTTTACAGAAACATCTTAAATCATATATAAAACCTGTACTGGGCCTGATACCAACAGGTTCTAATCAAATTTCATCTCCATTTTCCTTAACAATATCAGAAAAAAAATTTACTTAAAAAATTCATTTCTCGGGCTTGGGACCTCGGATTTCGATTCCGGACACACGCCTAAGTCCCATATTTTCGTACGGACCCTACGGGACTGTCAAATCATGGGTCCGGATCCATTTACCTAAAATGGTTACGTGCCTGAACTGCGCACGCAAATCAAGGCAACTCTAAATGAGGTTTTCAAGGCCTCAGAAGCAGAAAATGGATAAGAAAATAGGTGATGAAGATTGCTATATTTTTGGGGTATTTTTCGGTTGAGAATCTTTTTTATAACTGGAAATACAAAATTTGTGTGTTATAATTGAGTTTATTGAGTTATATTGTGTGTCTATTATGTTAATTGATTCACTTTCCATTTAAAAACAGTTGTAATCCCCTATTTCATGCCATGTATACAGTCGAATACAAAATTTTGTCTAGCTGTAATCCCATATTTCACGCCTAGAAATGCTATTGTATTCATGAATACAGTAGCTTAAATACATCGAATACACTCTAAAAAAACTAAAAACATAGTTATATGTAGTAATATAGTAAATGATAGCTACAACTAGATAATAACCACTAAAATACAGTGGTTTCTGAAAGTTTCTCTTCAATTTACAATCAATTAGCTCAAAAATAATAGGCTAATACTCAACATTCAACTCCAATAGGTTCTCGAAAGGTAGAATACATAGGTGGACCCCTAAACTTGGCCATATTTTTCACCTAGACACCTAAACTAAGGATAGTTCCTATCAAACACCTAAAGTGAAGACAAATTATGCCAATTAGACACACGGTGCTTGTGAGCACGTGATTTTTTCCCTATATGAGAATCACTCCGAAAAAATTCAAAATAAAACAATTTTCCTTTGTAAACAATTTTTGTATTTTTGTGGTATTTTGTATAATTATTTTTATCTGTGCATGTTTATTTGTTAAATTAAAAATAAAATACAAAAAATATGTCGTATTTGCATTTAGGATTTGGTCCTACAATTGCTAGTAATTAAGTTTGTTTTACAAACATAAAAAAATTACAAAAATAGGCATCTTTTGCATTTTTAGCATTTAATGTCCAAATATACAATTTTATGCTTAATTACTACTTAATTATGCGTTAATTGTTATTGGGAATTAATTTACGCTTTTATAACATAATTTAGTTCTTAATAATAATTTAAGTATTTTATAATTTAGTTCTAGAAAAATAAAAATAAGAAAAAGAGCAAAAATACAAAGAAAAATCGGATTGGGCCATTTCTTCAAATTTCAACCCCAAGCCCAAACAATTGTCCAATCTTCCCCACGACCCGGTCCATTTTGAACCGGGTCGACCCGGTCCATAACCCAACACCCTTATTATCTTGCATTTCAAAAATAAAACATAAACAAAAAGAAAAACAAAATCAAAAAACCCTAACCTAAACACTAAACTACCCGCCCCCCTATCATTCTTCTTCTTCTTTTCTTCATCTTCCCCAAAGCTCCAAACCTTCCTACCATGGCTTCCCAACGTCAACCACACTCCACCACGACCATTCCATCACACTCACACACACACGAACCAACAACTCCATAGCTGCCCTCCTCCATCGAGCTTCGTCATCCATGGCGAGCTCAAAGCTCATCCATGGCTTCCCCTACTGCGTCGCCCGCTTCTTCTTCTTCTTCTCCACTGTTGTTACTACCATGGTTGCGTCGCTGCTGCCAGCTTCACGTCGCTATGGCTGCTGCCAGCTTCTTCTTCGTCCTAGCTCACCCCAAGTCACCGGAAAACTCACCATGCCCGCGACCAGCACCCATGGTTGCTGTCGCTCCTGCTGCTCCTTCACCTGCTGCCCGCGACCACTGCTGCCTCATCGCCATGGCCAGCTACTTTTGCTTCACGTTTCTGCTTCTCCTGTAGCTTCATCTTCTTCGTTTCGTCGAAGTTCGAGGGTCTTTCGCTGAGTCGAGGTCCGGTACGTCGAGATTTCTGTTCGGGTTTTGGTTGGGGTTCATCAAAACAGTCCCTACATAGTCCAAGGTCGTCGTTGGTTAGTCGTTGTTCGTCGTTTCGATCCGGTTAGTAGATTTTGAGTTTTATTTTGTCCGTATTTCGTTTTGATATTTATCGAATCTAAAATCGGTAGATGTTTGATTTTTGTTTTGTTCATGTTCATTGTTTTGTGAATTTTTCAGTTGTTCATGTGAAATTATTAGTTTAATATTTGTTCGATTCAAATTGAAGTTTAATTAATTATTTCTTCAATTTGTTTCATGTGTTCTATGTATTTTTCAGAAATTGTTAATATTGTTAAGTTCAAGTTTAAATTCATAGTTGTTTCTTCTTAGGTTTTGTTTTGTTATTTGCCTAAAAGAATTTAGTTGTAATAGGGAAGTATGTTGGTTTAATTATTTGAATCCGTCATGTTTTTTTGTTTAAAATAGATTTAATTCATGTCCATACTTTGTTTGATTGTTCTTGAATCCGAAATTAGTATAAGTTTGATTTTTCTTGTTTATTGTTTATCATTTATGATTATTTCTTGAGTTTGTCTCATAATCTTGTTTAAGTTTAATATAGGAATTGTTGGTTGTAATGTTGTTAGAGTTGATTTTAAGTTCAAATAATTATTGAATTTAGAAATCTGAATATACTTGTTTGTTGTTGTTGTTGTTGAATCTGAAAGTAGGTTTGTTTGTTGCTAAAAATATTGTTCAATCAAAATTTTAGTTGTTCTTTGTTGTTCAATTTGTGTTCATGTGATTTGTTGTTGAAATGTTGAAGAAATCATGTTCATGTGATTTGTTGTTTGAATTTGTGTAGAAATTGGTCATATTGGCTATATTTTGATTGAGTTTGATTAATTGATTAGTTATAGCTGATGAGGGTAGTTTGGTAAATTGCAGTATGTCCAGGGGTAAAATAATAATTTCAATAAGGTCGGAGGGGTAGTTTAGGAATTGTACATTTTGTAATTCTTTATGTTAAGCATGGGGGACAAAAGGTAATGGGGTGTAGTTGATATAGTTGTTTAATATAAATGGGGAACAGGACAAAATATAATGGGGTAGGGTTGATATATTTATTTAATGTAATGGGGATGAGTGGGAAGATAATGGGGTTGGTAGGAGAAAGTGTGATTTTATTAATGAATTAAAAGGTTTGGGATGGATATATATAGGAGGTCTTGATCACACAGACAGAAAAAAAAAACAGACAGAATAGAGAGAGAACAAATTAGAGAGAAAAAAAGAGTTGAACATTTATTTCGAAAAAAAAACATTGAAACTCTCAAGAAAAGAAAAAACATACAAAGAAAATAAAAAAAAAGTTGAAAAGAGAGTAGTACACACCTGAAGATTAACTAGCCTTTCAAAAATCTGAAAATTTCCCTTGGTTTCTGTCCGTTATTTTCGGCATTCCTGGATTTCAGTTTGAATTTTCAAATCTGTCACTAGGGTTTTGTGACTGGTTATTGCTGGTTATTGTTGTTGTTGCTGTGTTACATATTACGTTGCTGACTTTCTTCTTCTTATATTGACAATATCAGGTACACAATTGTAATTTTGGCATGTTGTAAAGCTGAAATGAAGAATGGAGTGTTAAATTTTTAATTTAGTTTTAATTTTTTTATTATTGTGTTTAGATTATTCATGTATTATCATTGTGTAAATCACTGTCATTTGGCATAACTAGGCATGTTGTAGCAATATATTAAATAACGCCTTAACCAGATTATTAGGTAATATATATTTAAGCCTGATTACTAATTAAAACTGTCTAATAATTAAAATAGAAGAAATAACGTAAAAAATGGCGTTATTGAATCAGTTTGGAAAAAATTGATTAAGTTCCTTATTCATAAGGGTGTTAGTATTGTCAACGTTAAGTTAATCGAAGTCATGTAGTTAAATTCAGTTAAAACATGAATTAATTTTGCGAATCAAGTATTAGGACAGGATGTGAATTAAAACAAGGTTAGTTAAGGTTAAATTATTTAATTTTTAGAAAAATGGTTTAGTAATCAAGATTTTTCTCCAATTTTCAGTATTTGTAAATAATTAATTTCAAAAGTCTTAAGTCATCCAACAATATGATTTTAATCCGACTATGGGATAATTGTTCATTTTTTTTATTTTATTTTTGACAATTCCATGTTGTATTTATAATTATAATTTTAGTAATATTACTTTCCGGTAATATTTGTTTTAAACTAGTAATTAATATGTTACTTTTAAGTATGTAGAGATTGATTTCATAATTATAGACAAACTTAGTAATAATTAAGATGTAGTCATTAAGGGGTATTCATAAAATAAGGGAGGATTTCGCTAAAAAATAAATAAATATAAATAATACAAAAAATTGTAGTCCTCCAATCTTATTTATTTATTTATTTTTAATATAAGAAAATACCTAGATTCCGAGATGGGCAATTTAGTAAATTTCACAGTCCTACCTAATAATATCATAACGCGTAGTATTTTGGCGCATATTTAATAAGGTTGTTTTCTTAAATACGGGTGTACATTTATGTAACCCAAATCACGATCTTGACAAAGTCAAAATGCGTCAACAAATCACGTGTGCACTGGTTGTGGCGTGGTTCGAGATGCGTTTTCACCACGTTGCAATTTTGTATAAAATAATAAGAAGAATAATGATAAAAGCGGTTTTAAAAGCCAAAATTGCATATAAGTCCTTAATTGTTTAAAAATCAGATAAATGAGCCAATATGACAGTTGAGCGACCGTGCTAAAACCACGGAATTCGGGAATGCCTAATACCTTCTCCCGGGTTAACAAAATTCCTTATCCGGATTTCTGGTTCGCAGACTGTAATACAGAGTCATTCTTTTCCTCGATTCGGGATTAAAATTGGTGACTTGGGACACCCTAAATCTCCCAAGTGGCGACTCTGAAATAAATAAATAAATCCCGTTTCGATTGTCCTTTAATTGGAAAAAACTCCTTTCACCCCTCACGGGCGGTAAAAAGGAGGTGTGACAGCTCTGGCGACTCTGCTGGGGACTCTGCCTAGAACCACTGGTTCAGGGTTAGAAGTTCGAGCTTAGAATAATTGTTATTATTTGGCTTTATTTATTATCTGATTTTATTACATGTTTTGGATTAATTGTGTTAATTAATTGCCTTTACCGCTTTGATATTATGTGAACTGTATATAAATTGTGCCGAAACCCTTCTCTTCTTACC